GGCGTACTGTCTAAGTGCATACTTTGAGGTATCCTCAGAATAACCTTATTATTAGTCCCCATTCGGACGCAGTCCGAAAACGGGAACTTATGTTTTGACCCTTGTGCGTCTGTGCTTCCGTGCGTGTGTGCGTGCGTCCGGACCTGTATCTTAGAAATGCCTGGACGAATCTTTATCAATCTTCACACATACATCATACATGATATTATACATATGCACAATTTGTTTCACGATCTGATTCAAGATGGCCGAATGACGGCCATTTTTGTGCTAAAAAATCATCAAAATCAAGCATTTCTCGACATTAGACATTATGGAACCTTGATGCAAATAATTTTGTTTTTCAGATAAGATTCAAAATGGCTGACTGGCGGCCATTTTGTTTTAATGAATGTGGTTCTTGTGCCATATCTCTGACTTGCTTTGACTGATTATGTTCAAATTTGAAATATTCATTATACATCATGTCATAGATATATTGGTTTGACGATCCTATTCAAAATGACCGAATGGTGGCTATTTTTGTGCTAAAAAATTATCAAATATCAAGCATTCCTGGCATTTATGGATGGATTTCGTTCAAACTTGGTACATACATTAGACATTGTTATAATAAGACAATTTTAATTACACAGGTAAAGCTGCCTGGTTGCTATATGATACATATGGTTTCCCAGTTGACCTGACACAACTCATGGCTGAAGAAAACGGTCTTAACATTGATATGGGTGAATATGAGGAAGAAAAGAAAAAAAAGCTCAGGTTTGTCATCAGTGTGTCATTTCCGCAACTGTTTTCACAAATAGTATGGCCCAATAACACTTGCGATAAAAACCCATATATACAGACGCACATTATTATTGTATATGCTTGAACCCAACATGGCTGACTGGTGGCCATGTTTTTAGCAATTTGTGGTTTGAAACCTTATCAGATTGTTTGAAACTCAAACCCAACACAAATTTTATTAGTCCCCGTTCAGGCGCAGCCTGAAAAGGGGACTTTATAATTCAGGTTATGTCCATTTTTCCGTCTCCAACATTTTCTCAGAAATTCTACAGCAGATATCAGTGAAACTTGGCAGGTTGATGAAAAAGTCTCTGCTGAGTATGCACGTAATTGTTTTTCCAGATCTGAAAATCCCAAGTGGGTCTTTTTCACGATTTTCATCAAAAATTACCTCTCCCGGCAACATTGACAGAACGTCTGCGCATGCTCAGAATAAATTAATTACTGTAAAATACTTTATTTTTGCTTGCAACATTTTTTTGCTATTTTCGCTGAAGGAATGTTTCAGTTAAAATAAAATCCAGCGAATATACCCTTTTCTTATATTTTACAGTCAACTTGTCAAAAATCAATGAAAGTAAATTCAATACAAAACACCCAGAAAAAGTCTTTTCAGCGAATGATAATTCCAGCTGAAATAAAACATTTTACAGTAGATTAGATCTGTGAGTAACGCTGCTGTTATTACGGCACGTGATTTCTCCATTGCGTGCAATTTATTATAGTACTGTTTATACATGTATTCTGTTCGGCTCAGTGGTCTCATTCACTAGTTACTAGAAGAACTAGTAACTTCATTTGATTTCAAGAACTTCAAGAAGGCAGCATAAGAAACGTGTTTGCAAAGGTAAGTTCTCCAGTTTCAGCAAAATTGAATGTATATTGGGGTACGATTGGTGTACATTCCGTGACGTACGGACGTGAATATTATGATGATTGCCAGCTTTATATTCTTGTGAAAAGCCAAAAAAGCAAACAATTGTCTCCAATCTACAAAACTAGTTCGTAAACTGTCAAATTATTGTACATGGGGACATAGCTTTCAACTAAATCGATATCCGGTCTTTTGCTTGTGTTGCGATATCCGAAATATCCACAACTGGGGGGGGGGGGGGGTGTCCCTGTATCGATCAATTTATTCATTATATAATAGTAGGTTGCCTATGATTATATTCGTATTTTTTATGTTGTGAGCATTAAACTGTTAGTTGAAATGAAGATTTTGCCGATCTCCTGCGATTCAACATGGCGGATGTACAGTGACAACACGTGTATGGACGGTCGGTCGAGTAGTCTGCAACGGACCATGAAATTGCCCGGCGTTTTTTCGGCAGTTTTCTTTTTAATATTTTGGATATTTCATTCACTCCTGACGCCTAAAAGAGTCTAATTTATATTGTACCGTAGTCATCGACACCTATTCAAGAGTATGATGTTTATTGTGAATAGCCTGAATGAGTATTTTAAACAACTAATTTTTGGATTAAAAAAAAAATCATGACGTTTTCCCTGTCAAAATAGCATAAAGATCTTGCTACAACATCGGTGAATCTCTACAGTACCGCGTTGCGTTCACCACGAGGTCACTGAACCGTCATTAACATATTTAAATGAGCCACGTGTAAATGGAAACATGGCGGATATTGAATCGTATGGAGCATTTACATTCGACCGAAATCATTCGTTTACGATGAAACTAAGTTGAATATTACTTCAAATTCATAAAAATTCAACGAATTAATTTTTTGTGCGTTATTATAATCATTACTGAATAATAATCAACAATTGCAATACTTCGAAAACAAGTAAGTTATTCACTTGCGAAACACAGAATGACCAGATTGTGCTACCGTGATCATTTGCTACCGGTACTAAACACTAAGCAATGTATTCGTGTTTGTATTTATTCGAAACTTCTTTTAGAACATACTTTACTTTTCGTTATCAACAAAATTATAAAAAAAATAATGCATATTACATTATGTGATTTTTTTGAGGGGGGGGGGGGATTCAATTCCAACATTTCGCGGTGCCTATAAACCAAAGGCCTTTCACTCTTCTCTGAGTGTGACACCTAAACCAGAGGTTTTATGGTTTATAAACTGGCACTAAATGAAAAGGCCATTGAACCTTATTCAAATTTATAAATACATGTTATTATGTATTTCATTATGAAAACTGACTAAATTAAATGTGATCTTATTTTAAATTGTTTGAACAGAATGATTTATATCGGTAATGACGTTTTCATCCGATATTAATTGTGCAATTGTTAAAATGCCTACGTACACATTTATATTTTTTGTTTCTGAAATAGACTTTTGTAAAAAAAAAATTAAAAATCATGCTTGATTAAAATTCAAAAAAAAAAGATGTAGCCATGTAGCCCCTTTCTGTTATCTGTTTCCAACTTCTTCCAAAGTAAAACTGGCAAAGGCATGTAATTGCCATACAATCATCATTTGTGGAAAAACTTGTGTGTTATTGAAAATCTTTATTTTGTTGTCTGTGAATTAATATAATATTTGAAATCGCGTAATGGATCAAAATATTCTCAAACAATCGGTCTTCTGGTGGCACTACACTGCGCATTTATGCACAGTCAGAATCCCAATGCGCGATCTCAGCTTACTAAGTGATGATGGTGGTTGAAATGGAAAACTGAATACAAAAATCCAGGAACATGTCAAACGAATTTCCGTCTGCTGTGAATGCATGTTTCGTTGCATCAAATAAA